GTATCTGTTTCTGAAATTGCTTCCAAACATGTTATTTCTAACAAGAAGACAATACTTGTCTCTACTTCATAAGATACAGTGAAGGTTAAGTGAGTTTATAATTCAACATGTTACCTGTTATTATTAAAATCACTGTTTTTCTTTCAAAAATGGCTATGCTTTCTACATTGGTCCAATGACAGAGGTAGCTGAGAACTTGGGAAGTTTTGTAAATAGAATGAATTTTGGCTTTAGGTAGGGTGGCAACAGATTCAGTCCCTTCTTTTAGAGTGCAGCACTTACAGTGGATCTGAATACGGGAAATCAGGCTGTCAGAACCCTAACCCCCCCCCCATCCCCTGCTCCTCCCAGCCTGGCCCAGCCCAGCCCTCATCAGCGCAACTTTAAAGGCTCCGTGGGTGTTCTGCAGGCACTTCCTTCAGATGCTAATGAGAAGCTCACAAAGGCTAAGTAGCAGGACCAAACTAGTTTCTGCTGCCCAGGGCAGCTGGGAATCGTTGCCCTATTCCCCCCCCTCCCCCCCCCGAGATTTCCCAGGCCCTCTTTCTTCCACGTTCCCACCAGCTGTACTACAATGGCAGCCATGGCTGCAGCTCTTCTCTCTGGCCTGTGTAGCTCCCAAATGCCTTTCACATCAAATGCACCCTCCCATCCCTCACCTCTCCAGGCCGCTTCTCCTTGCCAGCTTCTCACAGGCCCTTGTCATTCTCTGCAGTTTCACCAGGCATTTCAAGAAAACAACAACTTCCTACCAGCCCCCACCAAATATAGAGCACCCTTGAGGGGGTCCCATTGGCAACACCCTTTAGTTCTTTGAATACTCACAATGTTCTTGTAAGCCAAGTAGTACTGTCCCATTTTATAGATGAGAACACAGGGACTGAGGGTGAACAAATGACAGAGCCAAGGTTTAGTCCAGGGCTGTTGGACTCCCTGTCCAAGCCCTGTGCCAGAGTGCAGTGCTGGGTCTCTCTGGCTCCCCCTAGTTCAGGACGGCTTTGTTCCCAGGCCTTCAGGCTAATAGCCTCTGCTTGGTCTTGCATATAGACATGCTAATCATTAGAGAAATTCTGCTTGTGGCTTAAGGACATGAGGGAAGTGTGTATTCTTTATTGAAGTAGTAACACCCAATGCTGGCGGAAGATGTGAGGAGGTAGGCATGCTCATATTGTTTCTTAAGGGCAATTTGATAATCATTAAAAGCTTTTAAAATAAACAGAATTTTTGATGTAGCAAATCCAAATATCTCTAAATATATAGTTTGAGACTGCAGAAAGAAATGTGTGTACCAGGATGTTGTGAATGATTTTACAAGAAAAGTTAGCAATCAGCTTTCTTTGAAATGGGCTGGTGGTTAGACTAGGTGAGCTCTGGCTCCCTTCTGACTCAGAAGCTCTGGAGAGGAGCAAGGGGGCCAAGTCTGTCTTTGGCATCCCTTTCCGGTCCCACAGTAAGTCTGGGGGTGCCCCCACCCCACTGGACTCTCTCCCAGAAGGCCTCATCCCCCATGCTCTCAACTCATCTCTCTGAGGTGTTAGTTTACTTCACTGACTTATATATTAGACTTGGAGGGGACCTTGAAGCCCTCTGGTGTGAGAAAGAGGAGCCCTGAGGGGGTGCCTCATTCCCCCAGTGTCTCTCATCTTGTCAGCGGGGGAGCAGAGCAGTCTGGATGATAGTTAAAGATTGGACCAGGAATGGAGGGCTCCCAAAGAAATAACTTTTAATGATAATAATTTCAGGCATTAGTGACCAACTACTGTCTAGGCTTGTGATCCTTGATTGGTTTGTGTGTGTGTGTTTTGTTTTATTTTACTTTTTTAGATTTTTTTTTTTTTCTGCGACTCAAATGATTGGGGAAACTGTTTTTAAGGAAAAGAGTTATGGAGACTTTCAAATTGGGTGGGAACTGTGGCTGGGCATTGCATCACTGAGAGGAGTATAGAGTTGGTCACGATGTCATGGGAAATGCAGCCATAGTCTCACCTTTCTGAAATGAGGGGAGCAGACTGGCACCCTACCCCTCATGAAAGTCAGGTGATGGCATCTGTGCCAGGGACTACTTAATGAAATGAGCACATGATGGGAGCGAGGTGTGGAGAATAGTCATTATGCCACATGGTGATTAAAAAAAGGTGGAACAAGTGACCAGTGGGGCTGACACACTCATTAGGCAGCACTTGTAGGAGTCCATCCCTCTTCTCTTCTCATATTCCTCTCCCTGTATCATCCACCTACAACTCCTACCCGATTTACTTTTATTTTTGGTCCCAGAAAGACCATCCTGCCAATGTCAGTGATGTAAAGATAGGGTCCAGAATTGTTGGTTCAACCTTCAATGCCCTCGGGATGAAAATGCAAAGTGTCTTTCATGGTAAACACAAGCCCTTCATAGATAAGTCCTGCCTATCTTTGAGCTTTTCCCCTAGCCACTCTCCTTCATATGGTCTGGGTTCCCACCACAGTGCTCCCCAAATGCATCACACTTTCATATTGTTTCTCTTGGGGGTGGTCTGTCCCTACCCCTTTATACCAGGAATAACAGAGGCTGGTCTCCTTTCCTCTTCCCTCTGGGCAGTGAACTGTGGCCTTGTGACTGAGTTCCGGTCAATGGAATATAGAAATGTTTGTGCATCACTCTCAGGCCAGGGCTGTGGAAACGTTATATGCACAATCCTTCATGCTCTTTTACTTCCACCATGAGCTGAAGATGGCAGAGTCCCAAGATGGGAGAAGCCTGGCTCATTTATCCCCACGTGGAAACATAGCCTTGGTTTTTGGCTTTAAGTGAGTAAGAAATAAACATCAGTGAACCACTAAGTGAACTACTTCAGTGAACCACTAAGGCTAGAAGATTTATCTGTCATCTTATCTTAAATAATTTAACTGTTTAATTAGTCGTCCTTCAAGGCCCTCTTCAGATGCCCCCTGCTTTAGGAAGCCATTTATGACTTCTCTAGGCAGGAGTGATTTTTTTTCTCTGTGTGTCCATAGCTCTTCAAAGACCATCTACTTAGGTAAATTTGGGGAAATGTATTATTGGGGATATGGTTAAACAACAGCTAACATGACATTTTATAGAATTTTGTCTGCCTGAATTATCTGGAACCCACATTAGTTTTATTAATTGGCCCTGTGGTGGGTTTAGTGAGAGGTCACACACAGGACACAGGGCCTTTATCAGATGTGAGCTCCATCCTAGAAATTCATGGGCCTAAAATTGTGGCTACTCAGTTAATGGTTGTTAAAAAATTAATGATGGTCACAGGCAACTGAGTCACCAAACTTTGGTCTCCTAGGGACGATCATGGACTCTCAAGGTTCAATGAGGCTACTTGGACTCACCCACTCTGGCCCCCGAGCCAGGGAGGGAACTCGTCACCCTGGCTGAACTTATGCTCTGGTCCTTTGCTGCAAGAAAGGCAGTGATGTGACCCTTAACCTCAGCAGGCAGCCCTCAGGACTGGGATGAGCAGGACTATTAGAAATCTTTCTCCATTGAGCCAAACAGCCTCCCACTGTGGCTTCCAGATTTCTCTTTTCTGCTCCTCCACTACCCAGTAATTTAAGTGGATAACAATACACTTTGTGTATGTATTTATTTATTATTTATAAATATATCTTTATTGATTTCAGAGAGAGGAAGGGAGAGAGAGAGAGAGAGACAGAAACATCAGTGATGAGGGAGTCATTGATCGGCTGCCTCCTGCATGTCCCGGACTGGGGACCGAGCCCTCAACCCGGGCATGTGCCCTGACCGGGAACTGAACGGCGATCTCCTGGATCCTAGGCCGACGCTAATCACTGAGCCACACCCGGCTGGGCTAAACTTTATTTTTTAAAGCAAGTAAAAAGTATGACAGTGCCAATATGATGAAGGCTCTGTGCGCCCACCACTAATCTCACAGTCCTCTCCCACCTCCTCTATCTGCTTATATATTTGTTTGGACTATGGGATCCCCGTGTGAAAGAGACTTTGGTGGCAGCATTTGCAGTGCAGTGATTAACAGAAGAAAGTGGAAGGCACAGACCAGGGTTTAAATGTGAGCGGCATTTACAACCTGTGTCTATAAACTGAATGGCTGTGGGCAACCTCATGCGCCTTTCTAAGCTGCATTCCCTTGACTGTGAAATGGAAATACTCGTTACATTTATTGCGAGGGTTGCTGAGGGGATTAAACGGGACCGGGCTGTGAAATCATCAGCACTCGGCATATAAAGTAGCTTTCCCGAGCGAGTCCTCTCCTGCCACCCCACGGAGGAGGACATGGGCTCTGGGCAGGGGGGCGGGGGCAGAGGTTTGTTGGAGGTCGCGGCGGGTTAGCCGCAGAGCCGAAACCTCTTCCCAGATCCCTGCCCCCCTTCGGCGGCAGGGAACCCTTCCTGCTCCCCACCGCCTCGGTGGGTGTCCGCCGCCGCCCACCTTGCCTCTGCAGATTGAAAACTCACCCTCAGGCAAAGCGCCCCCTCCACCGGGAAGCCTCCACCCCTCAGCGGCCGTGAGTGCCGCGCGCCCGGGTGCCGGCTTTCTGCCGGTGAGGAAAGTGGAGGGCGGGAGGCGGAAGGCGAGGGCTCCTCGGGAGTAATCAAAGGTTAAAGGTGGTTCTAGGCGTTGCCCGAGCCTGGGGGACTCTGGGTCCCAGCGCGCCCCCATTCGCATTCCAGCAGGGCCGCTTCTCTGGGCCGCCCGGGCCCGCGCGCGCCTCGGGCAGCCGTCAGCGGCGGCTCCCACTCC